CCTTCTGAAGAAGGGTCTAGGCCCGAAACGTCAACCTTCCTGCTCCTCTGATACTGCTTGGCCTGCTATGTTCATCCAGCTCTACACCTTGTTATCTCAGATTCTCCAGTATCTGCAGTTCCTACTATCTCCGATACAGATTTAGAGCAGTAGTTTTTTTGTGACAATGTACTGGACAATGTCTGCATGAACACAGATATCAATATTTATGTATAATGTATAAAATATAATTTCAGTCTTTACACATAAAGGTATATACATTAACAATAAGACTTTGTTTTATATAACCAAAAGAAACTCACGTACACATTGTACCTTTACACTTGGAGAATGACGGGGTCATGGATACTGCCAATCCCTGTTGCATTCCCCTGGCAACATTTTGACCAATCAGAGTCTGCCTGCCTGGTCTGAGAGCTAAGATTAACAGTTCCTGCTGCAGCTCCAGACCAACCATGGCCCAAACAATCATCACTTTAACAAGCTGTGTAAATTGGTGTCCTTTTCCTCAAGTTTTTTTCTTCCATCCTAGTCCTGATGAGTGCAAGATGAAGAGCTTCAACTCCTAGTTACTATTTTGTAATATTTAATCTACCATAATCCAAACCATATTGAGAATTTTCACACATGCATTAATTTCCTTTCCTAATACATATTCCCTCGTGATCTCCAAGGTTTCCATTAACACATGTGCCACCTTATGTATTTTCCATTTCAATAAAACCCTCCCATGAAATATCCTGCCTTCTCAATACCCCAGTTAAATGCAGAAGTAGGTCATTTGGTCTATTGAGTCCGTGCTGCCATTCTTTGAGATCATGGCGGATCTGAAAGTCCTCAATTCAACTTCCCTGCCTTTACTGCATAAAGCTTGATTTCCTTAGCGCCAGATAGCTCAACTGACTGGACGATTTGGTTGCAGTAAAGAGTGACACCATCAATGCAGGTTCAATTTGTGTACTAGCTAAGGTCACCATTCCCTCGACTTTGCCCTCATCTGAGGTCAGGTGACTCTTGGCCTGTGGAACTATGGTAACATTCACTTTCTTTTCATTTGACTTCCAATCTGCATTATACAGCAACTGGCACTCACACAGCGCCCTTAATGTAGTATATCATGCCATGGTGCTTCACTGGTGCATTCTCACAATACCTGGGACACTAAGCAGCCCTAGGAGATCTTAGATGATCAAAGCAAGATTAAGAGGCATCTGAAAGGAGACGAGAGGTGGAGATGGGGAGTAGTTTAAGGAGAAAACTTCAGAGCATAGGGACTGGGAATCTTAAGGCAAGGCTGCCAATAGCGCAGCGATTAAAACTGGAAAGAGGTGAGAGGCCAGAATTGGAGGATTGCAGAGATTTCAGAGAGTTGTGGCTGGCCTGGACAAGATTACAACAAGGCCACAGAAAGGGTGACATATACGAGGATAAATATATTAAATTTGAGGCATCGCCAGACCACGAGGGCAATGGGTCAGGTGGACTTGGTGCAAGTTGGGAGATGTGCAGCAGAGGTTTGGACAGAGGGTATGAAACGCTGCTCCCTTTCTGCAAGAACAGTTTCGCTGTTTTTGTTCCAATTTTGCAGCTTATCAGAGGAAACCCCTTTACATTCCAGGTGGGACTTACCATTTCTTCCATATCCATCCTCAAATAACTAAAGAGAGTGGAGATGCCCTCCACGTAAGCTCTGGACGGGTGCCTTTTTGGGAGGACTTCGAGGACTGTCTCCAGGACTTGAGAATTGATATAAACCCATAACAATTTCAGGTCTATTTCAGTAAAACTTCTTTTTTGCTGTGTCGAGTGAAAGAAGAAAGACATTATGTTGGAGCTAAATGGATAGTATCAGCGTCAACCTTCTTATTCACCCTCATTGCTGAACAATCTCACACAACTAAACTTAAGTAGTTTCTTGGGATGTTTTGTGTTTGACAGAGCAAATGCAGGGTTTGGGACAACCTAACGCTTCTGGGAGCTTAAAGCAAAACTTACAGGTCCTCCTGTCTCTGGTATCTGCTTGAAACACCAGGATGTCTTGGGTAGATTCACATCTCCTTGTTGGAATTAGTCTAGATTACTGATACCATGTGAGGGAGGATGCCCACACAATGTCTTTGGCAGAAGGTAGACTTGATCTTATTTAAACAGGTCCCGTTCGTTATATATTACTTAATAGTATTTACTGAATAGTAAGTTTTAATAGGAGGTTACATTACATCTGAGATACATGATAGTCTCTTGAGATATCAGGCTCAACTTAAGAGTCAGATCACAAGACAGCTACTAAAACATTCTCACACAGCATTGGTAACAAACAGAACTCAACACTGGTTAGCTCCTAACTGGAACAGTCCGTTATATCTTAATGGACGGAATTTACCTTATCATGTCAGCCAACCCTTTCAGCTCCTAACCTCGTACATTATGTTTCATACAACACAGTCCTCAATCCACAAGTCTCAACTATCCGTCCTCATAAAACAACCCTCAGGCAGGAAGAAAGGCCTGGATTGCTCATGTTCATATTACAAAATCGGGAAAACACCTTAAATTTTACTGGAAAATTTCAGTCAAATGAAGACTTTGCAACCAAAATTCCAAGTTGTGGGACGAACAAATGTACCTCATTCCTTGCCTGTACAATACAAATTAAGGATAAGCGGGAAGTCATGGGGCCCAGGATGTGGTGTCCCTGCCTCTGAGTCAGCAATTCCAGGTTCAAGACCCTGCTCCAGGGACTTGTTAACAATAGGAGTGTTCATGTCAGGCAGAAAGACGGGAACCAAATTGAAAAACCTTCCGCTGTTCCCCAGGGTGGAAAAAAGAATGAGTGTGAAGGGAGCAAAAGGAGGAATCCTTTAATTGAAGCACTGTTTAGAATCGAAGAGCGGCCAGCTTAAACAGCACGGATTCAAAGCCTACACACTAAGTTTATCAGCTCTGACAGCCAGGATGAAGTTACTATTCCCTTGTTTCAGTGGTGTGCCATATTGCAGGGCCTGACTGGAGAAATTCCAATGGATTCAATCAACCTTGCTCCTCCCCAAAATTACATCATATTTCATGTGTTTCCAACGATGAAGTAATCCAACAGCCTAGGCAGTCTAACTCCCGATAAGTTATTGCCTTAAAAGTGGAGACTCTGGCCGTGAAGGATCAATTTCTAATGCTTATACTTCTATCACATCATGTCAAAACCACTCAGAGTGCTTCAGACATTGATTACATTCTACAGTGATTGTTGCCATGGCAGTTACAGTGTGGAAGTCCTTCACACATGCTATGATCATTCCAGCCAGGGAACATCAGGTCCCGGCAAGATGCCAGTGGTCAGTGTGAGTGGTTGGTGTGGGCGCACATTGGGAATGCTCTCCTCACTTGCCTGCCCCACGGGTGTGGGGAGGGGTGTCAGTCTGACAGTCTGACAGCTCCAGGTAGTTCTACAAGTTGAAAGTAACAGTGAGCAATGGAGAGCTGTCCTCTAACCTTCGTGATCTGAGCTCGGGTGCTCCCGCTCCATCACAGCCTCCGCCAGGTTGGGGGGTAGGTAGATTATTCTGCAAGGGACTCAGTGACACTTCAGGTGGCAGAGCTCCAAGACCAAAGCCCCGATTAAGGTTTCGGAGTGCCCAGTGTTGTGAACGGGACAAGCCACTGAATCATTTCAAATCCCGGAGTTTGCTAAGGACAGATTTACTGATGCCCCAACCCTGCCTGCATCTAGAGTATGAAACCAAAAGAGGGTGTTAAACTATGAAGTCACCACACCAGGTCTTGGTGACCATTTCTGCTCTAACATACAGCAACTGCAAATAAATTAATTGGAAGTCTAAAAGAGCAAACCAAGCACCCTTAGTTAATATTTATTTTCAGCATATAAACATCATTGCCTAGTCCAGAATTTATTGACAATTTTTTAAATAGTCTTTCATGAGACGTGGGTGTCACTGGCAGGGCCAGCATTTATTGCCCGTTCCCAGTTGCCCTTGAGAAAGTGGTGGTGAGCTGATCTTGAACCGCTGTAGTCCATGTGCTGTAGGTGACCCACAATGCCTTTAAGGAGGGAGTTCCATGATTTTTGACACTGAAGGAAGATAATATATTTCCAAGTCAGAATGGTGAGTGGCTTGGAGGGGAACTTGCAGGTGGCGGTATTCCACTTTATTCGATACCCTTGTCCTTCTAAGTGGAAGTGATCATGGGTTTGGAAGGTGCTGTCTAAGGATCTGTGGTGAATTACTGCAGTGCATCTTGTAGATAGTACACACTGCTGCTACTGAGCATTGGTTGGTGGAGGGAGTGGATGCTTGTGAATGTGGTGCCAATCAAGCAGGCTGCATTGAGACTTCATGGGGTCCAGAGTTAATGTTGAAGACTCCCAGAGCAACTCCCTCCCAATAGTATACCACTATACTGCCACCTCTGCTGGGTCTGCTGTACCAGTGGGAGAGGACACATACAGGGATAGTGATGGTGGTGTCTTGGACATTGTCATATTCATAGTCAATACCTGACAGACAACGTCAGGCTATTGCTTGACTAGTCTGTGAGACAGTTCTCCCAATTTTGGCACTAGCCCCCAGATGTTAGTGAGCAGGACTTTGCAGGGTCAACAGAGCTGTTTCTGCTGTTGTCTTTTCCCGTTCCTAGGTCGATGCCAGGTGGTCCCTCCAGTTTCATTTCTTTGTTTAGACTTTGTAGCAATGGATAGAAATGAGTGGCTTGCTTAGGCCATTTCAGAGGGCAGTAGCGAGTCACCCACATTGCTGCGGGTCTGGAGTCACATGTAGGCCAGACCAGATCAAGGTAGCATATTTCCTTCCCTGAAGGACATTAGAGGAGGTGGTGGTGTAATTGTAATATCACTGGACAATTAATCAAGAAGCCCAGACTAATGTGCCGGAGACATGGTTTCAAATCAAATTTCAGATGGTGGAATTTGAATACAATAAAAATCTACCTTTAAACAAAATGTCGGACCTAATTGCAGCCATGTCGATTGTCATTATAACCCATCTGGTTGACTAATGTCCTTTAGGGAAAGAAATCTGCTATGCATACCTGGTCTGGCCTACATGTGACTCCAATGTGATTGATGCTTAACTGCATTCTGGGGAATTAGGGATGAGCAATAAATGCTGGCCTAGCCAAAGTCATCCACATCACATGAAAGAATAAAGACAAAAAACAACTGTTGTTGAAAAAATGTTGGTGGAGTGCCTTCTTAATCAGCTATGCTGTAGGTGCACCCACAATACTTTTCTCTTTCGTGGTTTGATACAACTGAGTGGCTTGTTCAGCATTTCAGAGGGCGTTAAGAGTCAACCACATTGCTGTGGTCTGGAGTCACATGTTGGCCAGACTGGATAGAGGTGGCAGATTTCCTTCCTTAAAGAACATTGGGGAACTCGATGGGCTTTTGCAATAGCCATGTAGTTTCATGATCATTATTACAGATGCCAGTTTGTTAATCCCAACTGAATTTAAAATCCCCCAGTTGCCACAGTGGAAGTTGATCTCATGACTCTGGAACATTAATTTAGGCCTCTAGATTACTTGTCCAGTAACATCCTACTGATTTACAATGTCACTACAGACAATTGTGCAGAAGAATTTGTAGTTAAGGCTTTATTTCAAAAAGAAATATTTTTCCTTTTAACTTGGGCAGAGGGAATATAAAAACTAAGCCATAATACATCTGTGAACAGTCTCTGTGTCACTTTGCTGACCTCTTCAGTATAAAATGTCACCCCATTTCCAGCACTGGTTGCATTCTTTGGTATTAATTATGCAAAGTCAAGGCTATTTTTTTCTCCCCACAAATGTCTTATTTTGATAGATTTGCCTGTCATAGATTACTGGCCACCCACCCAGCTCCCCTCCCATTTAACAAATTCATTGCCAAACATTGAGATGGGAACTCGTTCACACGCAGCAAATCGTTATTGTCTGAAAGAGCTTTGTGAGAGGTTGAAGGGAACAGTCCCCAATACTCCCCTCAACACCTCCCCCGCAGTAATAAACAGTCTGTACTCACAAGCACTTCCACTGACAACTGAGGAGAAACAGTCCCTCTGCCCATGTACACAGTAAAGCAGCTATTGTGACCGGTCCCCAAACCACATTGCCTAATACCCATTTGCTTCCCCAATCATTATCCAGGGTGAGAACAACAATTTCACGGCCAGTTCAGATCTCTTGGAAACTCTCGGCCCTGAGAGAGAAAAACATACAAACCGGGACAGGGAGAGAGAGAGAGAGAGACACACACACATGTGCTAGCACAGGGAGAGAGACACAAACTGAGACAAAGAGACACACAATCTGGTATGGGGAGAGAAAAGCTGGGTGTGATGAAGGGCTCTGTGACCGAATTGGAACTTCTTCCATTCATTAACCACCCCACGGACTGACCCTCTTGCTTGCAGACCCTCCCAAATTGGCCTTCCCACACTAGGCCCCAACACCCCCCTTCCCCCACACTCCCCCAGCCCCCAAGTGCCTCTCCAGCTCGTGGCTTTCAGCTGCTTCCTGCCTCTTGCCATGGGGGTTACATCAAGGGAGAGGAAAAGGGAAATGGTGAGAGAAAGAGAGATGGTGATCGGGAAGGTCAGCAAACGGCAGGGTCAGTGAACCGGAGAGGTTGTCCACAGGAAGGGGTCAGCCAGTGGGAGGGTTGGTGAGTCACAGGGTTGATGAGTGGGAATAGGCCATTCTGCCTTTCGAGCCTGCAGCACCATTCAATAACTTCACGGCTAATCTGATTTTAACCTCAACTCTACATTCCTGCATATCCCTGATAAATCTTTCATCCCCTTGGTCATCAAGAATTTATCCACCTCTGCCTTAAAAATATTTAAAGATTTTGCTTTTTGAGAAAGGGAATTCCAAAGACTCAAAACCCTCAGAGAAAAAAATACTTCCTCATCTCTTACTTGTTTGGGTGATCCTTTCATATCAAATTGTAACCCCTAGTTCTAGATTCTCCCACAAGAAGAAGCATCCTTTTCACATCCACCCAGTCAGTCCCCTCATGTTTCAATTAAGTCACCTCTAATGCTTTTAAACCCCAGAGGATCAGGCCTAGCCCTGTCTAGCCTTTCCTCATAAGGCAATCTGCTCATTCCAGGAATTAGTCTAGTAAATTTTTGGTGAACTGCTTCCAATGCATCAACATTTCTTTTGTAACTACGGGGACCAATACTGTACACAATACTCCAGATGCAGTCTCAACAATGCCCTGTATAATTGAAGTATAACCTCCCTACTCTTGCGTTCAATTCCACTTGTGATAAAACATTACATTCTATTGGCTTTCCTGATGACTTGGTGTGCCTGTATACTAGCCTTCTGCGATACCAGCATTAGGACACCCAGATCTCTCTGCATCACAGCTCTGCAATCCTCTCACCATTTTGATAATATGTTTTTGCTCGATCTTTGCCCACTCACCTACCCTTTGCAGGTTCCTTATGTCCTCTTCACAACTCACTTTCCTGCCAATCTTTCTGTCATCAGCAAATTGAGCTTCTGTACTTTGGTCCCTTCATTCCAATCATTTATATCAATTATAAAAGATTGCAGCCCAAACCACTGAGCCTTTGGCACACCACTCGAGACACTCTACCAGTCTGAAAAAGACCCAGTTATTCCTATTCTCTGCTTCCTGTCAGGCTGCGAATCTTCTACTCATGCCAAATGTTGTGCCTACATTATAAGCTTTTACTTTCCACAATAACCTTTAGCATGGTACCTATCAAATGCCTTCTGGAAATCTAAGTTCAATACATCCACTAGTTCCTCTTTAGCTACAGCACAAGCTACTTCTTCAAAGAGCTCTAATAAATTAGTTAGATACGATTTCCCTTTCACAAAATTATGTTGGCTCAGCCTGATAACCTTGAACTTATCCAAGTGCTCTGTTATAACATCTTTAATAATAACTTATAATATTTTCCCTATGACCGATGTTAAGCTAACTGGTCTGTAGTTCCCTGCTTTCTCTCTCCTCCTTTTTTGAATGAAGGAGGTACATTAGTTATTTTCCATTCTGTGGACCCCACAACATCAAGGATGCCCAAAAGGCCAGAATTAGAGGATATCAGAGGGCTGTAAGGCTGAAGGAGTTTACAGACACAAAGAGGGGCAAGGGTGTGGAGAAATTTGGAAACAAGCATGGAATTTTATAGGGTAGAGACAAAAAAATCTCAGATGCTAGCATCCAAAGTAGACAAACTTCCAGCGTAGGCTGGAAGAAGACAGCAAGCCAGGCAGCATCTGAAGGAAAGGAGAAGTCAACTCTGCAGCACTCCCTACCCCTACATCCAGTCCTGTGGAAGGGTAATACCCAAAACATGGACTTTTAAAATTGAGGCATTGTTTAAAATCGGGGCCTGTGTAGGTTAGTGAGCACAAGGATGATAGATTAATGGAACTGGGGGCAACTGTCTCCATGGTTGAGGAAACAAAGGGACTCAGGCAGCAGAGTTCTGGATCACCACTAGTTTATGGAGAGCAGAATTCAGATGGCCAACTCAAAATGCATCTGTATGGTCAAACCTGGAAGTAAAATAGGAGGGTTACAAGGCTAGCAATTGTTGCCCATCCTTAATTGTCCTTAAACTGAGTGACTTCCAATAGTTGGGAGTCTGGAGTCAAACGTATGCCAGCAGATTTCCTCCCCTAAAGGACATGAATGAACCAGATGGGTATTTTACAGCAAACAATGATAGTTTCCCGGTCAGCATCACTGAGACTAGCTTTCAATTCCAGATTCTTTAAAAGCTGAATTTAAATTCCATTGGATTTGAACACACATCCTGGAGCTCTGGTCTGGGCCTCTGGATTATTACAGTTCAGTGTCATTACCATCACATCATCATCTCCTCATACGTTCTGTGCCATAGAACAAGAAACGCATTGAGTAAACTGCTCTCAGTAATGGTCTGCAGGAAATAATGGCTTGGTGGTATAAGGGGCAGAGAGGAAAGAGGGATGGTTAGTTGGTAAAGGCAGATACGGGAAATGTCACCACTGTGTACCATTGGGAACTATTCAGGAACATGGCAAAGCAGGGATGTCACAAGGAGACCGTGGCTTTGGAAGAGGCAGTGGTGTGGATGTAGGGTCACTTGACTCGTAACCCATAACACCAGGCTATGGGTTCAAATGCCACCACGGCAGATGGGGAAATTTCAATTCAGTAAAAAGCTAGTCTAATGGTGATCATGAAATACTGTTAATAGTCGTCAGAAATCTACCTGGTTTACTAATGATATTTAGGTAATCAGTTCTGGTTTACATGTGACTCCAGACCCACAGGAACATGATTGACCTTTATTTGCCTTCTGGCTAATGTAGGTTGGGTAATAAATGCTGGCCTAGCCAGCAACATCCACATCCCATGAACAAATCTGAAGACTGAAAAGAAAAGAACTTGCTACATTCAAACCTACCATGCGAGTAACATTTATTGTTCTATAAATATCTTCATAGTGAACCTTCACAGCGTAGTTAACTGGAAAGTAATCCTTCTGTAAATAAAACAGAACTGACCATTAAACCTTCGTGCAAGTACTCAATTGTGTTCCTGCATTCTTCCATCCACTGCAGCCTATACCCCAAGACCTAGATCTTTCACCTTAGTGCAACCTATTGGGGCGGCACAGTGGCTCAGTGGTTAGCACTGCTGCCTCACAGCACCAGGGACCTGGGTTCAATTCCACCCTTGGGCGACTGTCTGTGTGGAGTTTGCACATTCTCCCTGTGTCTGCGTGTGTTTCCTCCAGGTGCTCCGGTTTCCTCCCACAGTCCAAAGATGTGCAGGCTAGGTGGATTGGCCATGCTAAATTGCCTGTAGTGTTCAGTGATGTGTAGATTAGGTGGGTTATAGGGGGATGGTCTGGGTGGGATGCTATGAGAGTCGGTGTGGACTTGCTGGGCCGAAGGGCCTGTTTCCACACTGTAGGGATTCTAAGCACCTCCATTTTCAAACTAGGTACTCGATTGGAAAAGGAGGCTCCTTGGTTGCTCCAGACCAATGTCCACATATGCCCAGACAAGATGGAACATGGGGTCTGGGAGCTGTGCTCCTCGTCAAAGATCCGGGAATTCCTAATAATCCAGGCTTCAAGACGGATTCCAAATCTACAGAATTTCAAACAGCCAATTTATATCCATGCATAACTTGCCTCTCTGCAAAGGACCAGGAGATGGGGATTCATGAGCTTCTCACCTCTTTGTGAGAAGGGCTGATGCTGGCCTGAAGAAATAAGTCTGCTTTTGAATTGTGAGGTCGCTGGCAAGCGTTAATTGGCATTGAGTAAACTCTTCCCTTCACTCTCACCCTCACTGGTCAGACTGGATAAGGAATGAAGTAGCCTTTGTACTCTCCTCCTCCACCACCACAACCACACCTTAGCTGGAAAATCCACTTATCCAGACATCGGCAGTTCAGGGCTAAGTTTGAGTTTAATGTCCCCCTTCACCCTTAAATGGCCCACTGACACGAGATAAAGATGGACACCACGTTAGGTCTGAAAAAGCTGCCGGAAACGACAGAACCATAACCCCAGCAGTAAATGTCATCAGGGGATAAGAACATAAGATCAGGAAGGTGTTTGGGGAAAGGGTATGTAATTCTATGGGAGGCCCGTGAATGTGACCATTTCCCCAGCTGGAGGATTCCAAGTCTAAAATGTTGATGGGGGCTTCAATTACGTGCATGTAAGTTGCAAAGCACCACTTACCATGTATCTGACCCGCAGACTGTACTGTAGTTCACTATGTAACTCCAACAAATGGACACACTGTGAGCTCACAACAGCAAAAACTCCAAGTAGAATGAAATCTGCAGGAAAGGAAGTGAAAAATATTGAGCAATTACCCAAATTCTGTGGAAAGCCAGCATCAAACAATTGTCATCAAACTGACACAAATACTCCAAACCAATTAACTGAGACACCAAGCACTGTTTTAACCTGACAGATCCCAGCCCTTCTTCTGGCTCACTCATTGTGACATCTGGTTGTAGTTTGAATAATCAATGTTTCTCCCCTGCCATTCCAATAGATCATCTTGGTCCCATGAGAACATTTCTGTCCTACGTCTGCTGCAATGTTCCATCACTACTGCAAGGTGAAGGCATGTGTACTGTCTATAAGATGCACTACTGCAACTCACCAAACCACCTCTGGTAGCACCTTCAAAGTTTCAGACCACTACCATCTAGAAGGACAAGGGCAGCAGATACTTGGCAGCATAGTAACCTACAAGTCCCCCTCCAAACCACTCCACATCCAGACATGGAACTATCACATTGTTCCTTCAGTGTCACTGAGTCAAAGTGCTGGAACTCCCTTCCTAATAGCAGTTTAAGAAGGCTGCTCACCACCAGCCTCTTATAGGGAACTAGATATTGACAATAAATGCTAGAAATAAATCCTGTGAATTAATGAAAAAAAGCCACAAGCTGAATGTCTCCATTGTAAGTATCCCAGAGGCAGCAGGAATTTAAGAGACATTTCACAGACACTGCAGCAAACAACTCCAGGAGTGAAATCAAAGGCCCAGAAAAGGAAAATGATGTGTTTTTTTTTTCAGTTTTTGTGAACGTTTAGTTGCTAAATTATTGGACATCGGTGAAAGGTTATTTGATTGCATGAGTCAGTTGGATGCAGGCCATGTGATGAATTAAACTTTTAGGAGTATGTCCAATTAGTGCTGGAGGTCTAGGCCAGTTTCTTAGTTACTGACCCAGAAAGCCACCTGCTACCTTGGTTCTGGGGGTTGCTGGGGCCAACCAGAATCAGGCTTGTTGGAAGTCACCCCTACTCTTTCCTAAAGAGCTGTCCCAAGATTTGATGGTTCGGAGATGGCAGCGGATGGTATATCCACAACATTAGGCTTTGAAATGCAAGATGACCATCACAGTAGAAAAAATAGCGGAGTCCTTTGAACGGAAGAAAAGTCCACAAGACTTAACAACCTCTTGAAGTTTGTTTGATCTTTTCCAAATCACTTAATCCCATTCAGAATCTTTGCTGAAAAGCCTGTGGCCAGAACACTCTGCTCGGTCCTTGTGAAGTGGTTTTGTGACATGGATTATTAATTTATTTGATTTAAATGTGTTCCTTATTCTAAAACATGTGCTTTTTTTTGCTGACATATCAGTATTATAACTTTGTGCTGGTTTTGACCTGATTATTTTACAGTCATTTTAGAAATTCCTTCAGAAATCAATGATGGAAATAATTGCTAAAAGTTTATTGGCTATTCAAAAATTAGCCATACACCAGGTTTATTTACTTTGGAACAAGACAGGCTATTTGGATGGAAAAGTACTAATGTAATCCCTCGCTTGCCATAGTTATGTGATCTCAGCAGGAAGCAGACAGCAATCATACAAGCGGTTCAAGAAAGACAAAGTAAAAACCAGACAGTTGAACTCAAAGCGTGGTGTTAGAATGGAGCTGAGATAGAGCGATGAAGAGGTAGATTGAAGCACACCAACTGTTACAATGAGTGTTCTATCCTAAGTGTCTCTGAAGAACACAAAAGCAGAAATTTTGAAAGCCTTGAAGGCAAACTTTGAACCTAGATTGAATGATACACACGAATAAACAAGAAACAGAAGTTGCTGGAAAAGCTCAGCAGTGTTCTGAGGAAAGGTCATCAGACCCGAAACGTTAACTCTGATTTCTCTTCACAGATGCTGCCGAACCTGTTGAGCTTTTCTGTTTTTGTTTCTGATTCACAGCATCCGCAGTTCTTTCGGTTTTTATTTGATACACACTACTAGTCTGTGTTCCATATTACAGCTAAATGTGAAAAAGTGCACATTGATAGTTATGTGACCGTATTAACACAACTCACAGAATCCTTTGAATTTGGGCACTTGAAAGCAAATCTCATTGAAAACAAAATTATTGTGGCTGAAGAGATCCTACTATGATATATTGACCAATAGGAGAAGAGAATCTGACACTCAAAGAAGGTATAAATCTCTGAGCTTATAAACCAATAGCACAAAAATGGAGAAAGGGACAATGTACCCAGACCTATTACTATTTTAATTCTAACCCTAACCCTATTTTAATCAGCAGCTCAGACCTATCCATTATGTTGAAAAGCAGTCAAGCTGTTTCAAGCTCAACAATGTGGAGAAAAGGAACAAGTATCCACAGAAACAAAAGAAAACACATTGAATGTGGAGTAAACAGTGCTTTAACTGCATGAAGCTAAATACTTTACATACACGTGTTTCACTGGGAAGAAAACAAGAAAGTCTATAAAACCCAGAATTACTATTACTACAGGAATTTCAGACAATGATTCAGACAAATCAAGCGCGAGCAAGAGAGATACTGGACAAAGACTCTGACAATTCAGTCTACAACTTAGAGCAGGTTGGCAGGAATACAAAGGAAACTTGTGCCAAACTCACAAAATGTAAAGACTGCCTTACTGGATACAACTAAAGGGAAGAAGTGTCTCCGGCAATAGTGGGAATCAGCAGAATCAGCTGGGAAGATTTGTAAACAATCCAGAGAGCACATCATTCCAACCTGCCATTAGAGGAAAAGCTGATAAGGAGAACTCTAACTAGAAAAACTAACAAAACTGTTCACTATTCATAGATGAGCACAGTTGTTGGCATTGTGGATAACTTGGGTAATTCTCATCGTAAATGATGGTGCATGCAAATTTGTTTTGTGCCAACAAGAGGTATATTGTGAAATTGTGCTAATATGCTTCCTAGCTTGCTGTAGTCATGTGATGTCTGCAATTGTGCGCTCCTGCAGGCGACTACCTTACACCCAGTTCAATAAGGTCACTGTACAAGTCAGACAATTGTCTTGTGAACTTGTAACATACGCTGAGGAGCAGCTGACATGAAGTGAATAAAATTATCAGAGATGTAGATTGTGTGACAGGAAGTCCTATTCCCCTTGGTCACAACCAGGAACTATGCAACATAGGAATGTAAGAAATAGGAGCTGGAGTATGCTTCGTAGCTCTCAAGCCTACCCTACTATTCAACAGATTCAACATGTCATGGCTGATTTGCCCTAGGCCTCAACTCCTCTTTCATACTAGCTCAGCATAGCTGTTAGCTCTGACATTTCAAAAATCTATCCACCTCCTCTTCAAATACTTTCAGTGATCCAGCCTCCACAACTCCCTGGAAGACAAAATTCCTCCACATCTCAGTTTTAAGAGCACTCCCTGATTCTGTAACTATGTCCCCAAGTTCAAAATTCTCCAACCAGTGGGAGCATCTCAATGTATACCCTGTTAAGCCCCTCAAAATCTAGTATGCTTCAATAAGAAGTTCACTCCTCTAAACTCTAATGAATAAAGGCCTAATCTGTTTAGGATAGGAGGCAAGAGGTTTAGACAGCATTCAAGGTGAAATATTTTCATCCAGAGGATGGTGTGAAGTCTGGAACTCACTGTCTGAAACAGGCAGAAACCTTATGTCTTGGTTAACAAATACTTGACACGCACTTGAAAAACCATAACCTACAGGACTACTGACCCAGAGCTGGAATTATTGACTATTATTATTATTATTACTTTTTTTTTATTATTACTGACTCATTGAGCAAGACAAAACTCAACAGATTTCTGGAAATTAATGATATCACGCGATATAGAGATTGTGCAGAATGACTTTGAGGTAGATGATCAATAGAGCAGGCCCTCTCCTCTTCCTGTGTTACAATGAAGGTGAGACTAGGCTGGCAAGACTGGATCCATATCGGCTGGTGCAACACGATGGGCCAAATGGCCTCCACCCATGCTGTAAATTTCTATGACCTTCTGAAATATAGTCAGTACCTGACAGAAACTCAGCTAAAGAAATATCATTTTCACACTGCTGCTTCCAGGACCTTACTAGGTAAAATTGACTGCCACGTTTTTTTACATTTGAGAAAGTGACTAGACCTGAAAAAAAAAGTACTTTCTTGGCTGTTAAAACACACGGGGACGCCCAGAGGTCATGAAAGACGAGATAAATGGGAGTTTTTCTTTTTCTTCTGTCTAGCTTGGCTGACTTCCCAGACTCTTTAAACTTTGTATCCATTGGCATTTGATGAGGCTTCAGTCTGTCTACTGCCTATTAAGTTTTCCTGAAGCAGGTGTGGAAAGGGTACCAAATCTTTATCCATCCTGCTATAGTTTCTGTGAATTATAATATACTTTTCAAACACAGTCATTGTAGTTCGGGAGTCCAACTCAGAAATCCAGTGACCACACTAGAGGAAAGAATTTGGACCCAGCCCGAGGGCAGTGCAATAGCGAAGGCCTCAGTTGTATTTTTAGGAGCTTTCTCTGGTTTCACACGATAGCACGTGCCATGGAATTTATTCACCTCCCAAATGGTGCCTCGCTGGACAATAAAGAGCAGGCAGCTGAGATTTACTTCTGGAAAGGCCTGGTGTCCAGATGTGGTCAGGACTTATGTCTTACAAAGCTGTGCCTCAGCGCTTTTGGTTCCAGACACAGAGTTTGCAGTGAAAGAGGAGAGCCCATAATCTGTAGCTGAGCCCAAACATCCTGTTTTCAGGGATTGGATTTCGGGGATGGTGTGCTCCCTGAAAACATCACCCCCTACCCTGACAAATAGGACAATCTGGAAACTGCCCAGAGGAAGGAAACTGCCCCCCTCAGTAGGATACTCAATGGCTCAGGGTGAGACCCTCAAGTTCCGGTTTGGGGATTCCGTAGTCACAACAGCGCTACATTCAGGTGGTGGTCACTGCTGGAATTGCAGTCTGGAGCCCATACTGAAGGTGTGTCTGGGGCGCCGGTTGGCAATCCCCAGTACATGGGGTCTGTGAGAGG